ATTCATTCAACACATCTATCACTACATTCACAACACTGAGCAGTCAAATACCTAAGCTCATAGAATTTATGTTCTGGCAATAGAGATGGTCATTGAACAAAAGAATTCACAATTAATCACTAAACAATAACTATGACACGAAAATACTAGTGATTAATTTATATGTCTGGTATTTCCTTCAGAATAATTACAGGATGGTATATAATTCAAATAATATTAACTCGGAGTTAATAATTATTAAAACTGGGTAATAGAAATGGCAGACTTAACTATACTAATTCTACTTCTTCTAAATTTGAAATTTTTCCATTGAAAATTTACAATTATAATTATGATACTGTGGAAAACTATGGGAAATTTAAAAAATGCTAATAGTGAGGACCTAACCTAATGTGAAGAGGCAGAGAAAGCTTCTCTGAGGAAGTTACTTTTAAATCTGAAGAATAAGAATTATCTAAATTGAAAGGGGAATGGAAAAGGAAAAGCTTTCCAAACAGAAGGATCAGTATGTGAAAGCATCCTAATACAAGGAGGAACAGAGTAAGTATAAATAGTACAAATATTGTCAAACCATGGTTGATTTGCAACCACAGTTTGGCTACGGATAAAAGAATTTGGCAAAAATTAGCACCCTGGGAAAATCAATTGACTATATGAAATTTATGAGTATTTTATACCTCCTTATACTTGGTATGCTATATACATCTTTTATGTCAGTAAAATTCAAAATAAATATATATGTATACGGAGATAGCTAGGAAGGATAGATAGAAATATATAGATAAAACCCACTTGTTAAACATTTACTAGCATAAACATTTACCAGTGGCAAAGTCTGAGCCTTTGAAAGGGAATTAGAGACTTCATTTGAACCTGGTCTGAGTAATATTCTCAAGTTTTGGGACATGGGAACTCACAGAAAAAGAAATGTAATTCAACACACTATCTGGGCTCTGCATGAACACTATTTAAATAAATGTAATAACATACATGCTTTTATGAGTTTTAACATTAAACCTTGGTCTGTTAAAATTCATCTCTACCCTTTGAGATAAGCTAGCCAAACATACATGCAGCAAAATTATGAAGCATACAGCCTGCAATCCTAATTTAGATTTACTACTGCCATGAGAGAACAAAATTTGGTGCCAGAATGATAACAGTGATTATTAACTGTGTAAGACATTTGCATAGTTTCATTTGAGCCTCACAGGACTATAGGCTATAAATCATCACCTCCATTTTACCAGTGAGAAAACTGGGGATCAAAGAGATTAGGCAATTGCCAAAGACACATGCCCTAACACTACCACTTCAAAGCCCAAAAATCCATCCTGTGGCACTGGCTCAGACTTGCCCTCCTCTGACCATTTCCTCAATTATTAGTACTAGGTCACCAATCAGTGAACAACCTTAATAATTACAGTAATTCACACTAAGACATAAAAGCACTTTAATAGATTAATTTCTTAAATCTCTGGAATGGTGGAGGGGTGAGAGAATTGTTTTTGTTTTGTTTTGGCATATGCATGACGGTTTGAGAGTTGACAAAGAGGTAACTTCTACATGCCCCTTAGCTACATTTCTACTCCATCCAGAAAGAAAAGAGAGTCAGGAACTTGTCCTTCCTTCTGAAAGTTTGTGAACCCCAAGGAGAAAGCCAAAACAAAAGCATTCAGTACACTTCTTTTCCATTCTCCTTCTACCCTCTACCCATACTTCCCTTACCTCCACTCATGTTAAAAATCTTAAAAGCTCCTGAGTAAATAGTTTGATAACATTTAGTGATGTTCGCACATAAAATTACCAGGGACACTGTCAATTTGTATTTCCTGGAAATATGACCTAATAAAAATAACCCTCTGGTTCTTTTACACACACACACACACACACACACACAATTAAATAAAATTGGGCTAATGCAGCTGTTTCATTTCATTAGCATTGAGAATCCATAAAATTGACATAAAGAACCAGGCCATCATGAAAAAGTAATCATGTCAAATACATATTTAAAGTTGATTTATATTGAGTCCTTTAAATGCACTGTGGGTCTGCTGCCCTGAATCTCAAAGCTACAATAAATACTAACAGTATGAATTCACAAATATATAAAGGGAGTTACCAAATTGATTGAATTTATTTATGGGATAATCATCTGTCTTTCACTAATTATTAAAGATCGTTCTGAAAACCTGTTGTCTTATTTTTCAACTCAATGTTTGAGAAATATTTAAGACCACCATCAAGGAAGACAATAAACAAAAGACCAGATCAACAAAGACCTTTTTTTTTAATGATAATATCTTACATAGGTATTTGAGAGGTTGAGAAACCACAAACTCTTAAACCCTCCCAGTAGGAATATGTACTGAAAAAACTTTTTAAAAAATAAATAAGATAGCTACCAATGCGTACTTACAAAGTAGAAGGCTTCAAAACAATACACTTTTACCATTTTACGGATAAGGAAACTTTTTGAGCAAAAAGTTAAGTAACATGCCCAAGAATACAAAGCTAGTTAAAAAAAAAAAAAAAAAGCTAGAAGGCAATCTGGAAACAAGTATTGTCTTTAAAATGCGTGTGTTTTTAGAGCCAGCCATTCCTCGTGGAGTTTATTATAAAGAAATAATTAGAGAAATATACAATTTGTACAATGATGTCCCCTATAACATTATTTATAAAAATGGGAAGTAGAAACAACCTAAAGGTCCAACAATAGCCAAATGGCTAATGTCAGTGTACTGTGCATTGAAGCAATGGAATAATTACATAGTTTTTTAAAGTGATGGTATAACTCTACTTACTGAAATAGAAAGTTAGTCCCACGTTAAAGGAAAAAAGGAAAATACAGAGTAGTGTATACAGTATAACTTTTATTAAAAATAGGTATAAAAAAAGGCAAGAATATACTCCAAAATGTTAACTTGTTATATATTGTCATAGGATTTTTTAGTGGTTTTCTTTACTCACATATATTTTTTAATATTTCTCCAACAAAAATGAACAACCTCTGCAAACATTTATTTAAAAGAACTCACACATTGCTCACGTGAATGTAAAACAATACCAGCACTTTAGAAAACTGTTCAGGAATTTCTTATAAAATTAAGTATATACTTCAATGATCCCACCATTCTACTCATAGGTGTATACTCAAGAGAAATGAAAGTATATGTTCATTAAGACTTGTGACAAATTGTGTACATTCACACAATGCAACACTACTCAGCAACAAAATATTGATATATGCCTGAATACACAATATGGCTAAACCTCAAAATCATTATGCTGAGTAAAAGCCAGACACAAGAGTACATATCATGCCATTTACATAAAATGCAAGAGAATGCAAACTAATTTATAGCAACAACAAAAAAAACCAGATCACTAATTGCCTGAGGCCTGGAGTGGGGGAGGGCGTGGAGGTGGGGGGATAGACTACAGAGAGACATGAGGAAATTTGCGGGGGAGGGCGATGATGGAAATGTTTTGATTATGGTGGTGGTTTCAGATTTCACAGGTATATATAACTATCAAAGGTGACTCAGCATCAAGGCAGCATAAGCAATTTCTCTTTTCTCTTCCTTTTTTTTAAACAACTAATTAGACACCTATAACCAAAGTGCCTCTGCACATTACACCAAGGTTCCCAGCTCACCTGTGCACCCAAAAGTAAACAAGATAACTATTAAAGCTTATCAAATTGTACCCTTTTAATGAATGTAGTTTGTTTTATATACATTATACTTCAACTAAGTTTTTAAAAAGCATGAGTTTATGTCTTGAAAAATATACAGGTTTTACAGTAATTTTTTTCCTAAATTCTGTATACAGGAATTCTAGATCACCAAATTGGTTTTAAACTTAATAACAACAATTCCAGCTAACATTGATAATATCAACAGTGGGCATGAAAGTTGGTAGGGGACTTCATGAAACACTTCGATGGGCACCTAAATCTTAAGCTAAATTGAAAATATGAATGAATTTGGAAGATAAGATCAGGGAGCATGAATACTATGAGCTTGAGTATGAAA